CGGATGTTTTGTTTAAGTGGAATGATTCGACTAACTAAATCTACAATCCGTCGCATTTTGCGTTACTTTAAATTCATGATAACTCAATCTGACATATTGTCGGATTTTCAACGAAGTCAGATAAAGACGGCAAGACTTTAGTACGTAAGCTTTTGATTAAACGAAGTCACAAGCGTTCTGAGTAAACGTTAAGCAGAGGATTGCGTGTTTTGGTGGTCTAGGGGAATGATTCTCGCTTAGGGTGTGAGAGTTCCCGTGTTGGAATCCGGCCGAGGACAGCGACTTCAGATTTCTCGAAACGATCAAAATTGGCATAACGGGAAGAAGATAAGAAAGTGTTGAATGTTAAGAAATAAGCGAACTGATATAAGTAACTAAGCTTTTGGTTGAGAAATTACTGGAAAACGTAAAAACAGAAAATAAAGTCTTTTCTTACTGGCTCGATGGTCTAGTGGTATGATTCTCGCTTCGGGTGTGAGAGGTCCCGGGTTGAAATCCCGGCCGAGCCCTTCGCAATTTTATTTTTATAGCTCCCACTAGATTAATGTCATTACAACAATTAGGAATTTAATATTCTCCGCGCTTCCTTATACAGGGAAGTTTATTGTTCTATAGTTTTAGAAACCTTACCTCCACTTCCAGGGAAGAATCATAAAGTTGCATCAGAGATAAAAAAGGGGGAAAGTTTAAGGAAAGCTTAAATTTGCGGATGTTTTGTTTAAGTGGAATGATTCGACTAACTAAATCTGCAATCCGTCGCATTTTGTGTTACTTTAAATTCATGATAACTCAATCTGACATATTGTCGGATTTTCAACGAAGTCAGATAAAGACGGCAAGACTTTAGTACGTAAGCTTTTGATTAAACGAAGTCACAAGCGTTCTGAGTAAACGTTAAGCAGAGGATTACGTGTTTTGGTGGTCTAGGGGTATGATTCTCGCTTAGGGTGTGAGAGTTCCCGTGTTGGAATCCCGGCCGATGACAGCGACTTCAGATTTTTCGGAAAGAACAAAATTGCCATAACCTAAAGAAAGTAAGTAAGTGTTGAATGTTAAGAAATAAGCGAACTGATATAAGTAAGTAAGCTTTTGGTTGAGAAATTACTGGAAAACGTAAAAACAGAAAATAAATTCTTTTCTTGCTGGCTCGATGGTCTAGTGGTATGATTCTCGCTTCGGGTGTGAGAGGTCCCGGGTTCAAATCCCGGTCGAGCCCATATTTGAATATGGAAAATCTTTCTTTTCCGAGCGATTAGTTTTGCTCTATGCTCACATGATTTTATAATATTAATTCAAAAGCGCGTTCACTTTGTCCGTCTCGCAAAAACACTCAATGTGATTAAAATGAAAGTCGATTTTTTAACGCGGCTCGGTGGTCTAGCGGGTACTAGCCTGCTTTGGGTGCGAGAGGTCATGGGTTCAAATCCCGGTCGAGCCCATAATTGAATATGGAAAATTTTTCTTTTCCGAGCGATTAGTTTTGCTCTATGCTCACATGATTTTAAAATATTAATTCAAAAGCGCGTTCAGTTTGTCCATCTCGCAAAAACACTCAATGCGATTAAAATGAGATTCGCTTATCTAACGCGGCTCCGTGGTCTAGGGGTATGATTCTCGCTTTGGGTGCGAGAGGTCCCGGGTTCAAATCCCGGCCGAGCCCTTCGCAATTTTATTTTTATAGCTCCCACTAGATTAATGTCATTACAACAATTAGGAATTGAATATTCTCCGCGCTTCCTTATACAGGGAAGTTTATTGTTCTATAGTTGGAACTCGGCCGAGGACAAAGGACTTCAGATTTTCGAAACGATCAAAATTAAGTATAAGGTAAGAAGAGATAAGAAAGTGTTGAATGTTAAGAACAAGCGAACTTGATATAAGTAACTGGGGCTTTGGCTGAGAAATTACTGGAAAACGAAAACAGGAAAATAAAGTCTTTCATGCTGGCTCGATGGTCTAAGTGGTATGATTCTCGCTTCGGGTGGAGAGGTCCCGGTTCAATCGGTCGAGCCCTTCGCAATTTTATTTTATAGCTCCCACTAGATTATGTCAAAGACAACAATAGAATTGAATATTCTCCTTCGCCCCTTATACAGGGAAGTTTATATTCTATAGTTTTGAAAACTTACCATCCACTTGCAGGGAAAAATCGTAGGATTGCATCAGAGATAAAAGAGGAAAGTGTAATGGAAAGCTTAAAGTTGGTCGTTTTGTATGGAATGATCTCGACTAACTAAATCTACAATCCGTCGCATTTTGTGTTACTTTAAATTCATGATAACTCAATCTGACATATTGTCGGATTTTCAACGAAGATAAAGAAAGTGCAAACATTAGTACGTAAGCTTGATTAAACGAACACAAGCGTCTGAGTAAACGTTAAGCAGAGGATTACGTGTTTTGGTGGTCTAGGTATGATTCTCGCTTAGGGTGTGAGTTCCCGTGTTGGGTCTCCCGAGGACAGCGACTTCAGATTTTTTCGGAACGTACAAATTGGCATAACGGAAAGAAAGTAAGTGTGTTGTTTAGAAATAAGCGAACTGATATAGTAATGCTTAAGCTTTTTGAGAAGTACTGGAAAACGTGAAAACAGAAAATAAAGTCTTTCTTGCTGGCTCGATGGTCTAGTGGTATGATTCTCGCTTCGGGTGAGAGGTCGGGTTCAATCCCGGTCGACCATACTTTGAATATGGAAAATTTTTTCTTCGAGCGATTAGTTTTGCTCTATGCTCACATTTTATATATATTAACGCGCTTCCATTTTCCGTCTCGCAAAAACACCTCAAGTGATTAAAAGGAAAGTCGAGTTCTTATCTAACGCGGCTCGGTGGTCTAGGGGTATAGATTCTGCTTTGGGTGCGAGAGGTCAGGGTTCAAATCGGTCGAGCCCATAATATGAAAAGGTCTTTCTTTCCGAGCGATTAGTTTTGCTCTATGCTCACATGATTTTAAATATATTAACAAAAGCGCGTTAGTTTTCCGTCTCGCAAAAACACTCAATGAGATTAAAATGAGAGATGTCGATTGTCTAACGCGCTCGTGGTTCTAAGTTGATTCTACAGCTGGTGAGAGAGGTCCCGGGTTCAAATCCTTGTCGAGCCCATATTTGAATATGGAAAATCTTTTCTTTTCCGAGCGATTAGTTTTGTCGGCGTTACGATTCTATTACTATATTAATTCAAAGCAAAGGGTTAAGTTTTTCCGTTCGTACCATCAAAGTGATTAAAAGGAGATTCGCTTGTCTAACGCGGCTCGGGTGGTCTAGGGGTACATTCCCTGCTTTGGGGTGAGGGTCCCGG